CGTCAAGCAAACTCTGCCCCGAGGTTATCAAGAGGTCTTGGTGCCGCATGTCGACCTCTCCGACAATAAGGCTCTCTCGGAGTCCATCATGGACCGTTCTTGGACTCCAGATGAGCTGCTCCCCCGACACAAGCACAACGCCGTCGGCCGGCATTTCCTCAAGCGTGCAATCCAAGTCGCTGCCGGCCTCGACGAAACCACACTGCCAAAGCACCTCAAAGCCTTTTTGGCATGGGCCGAGGTCCAGGTCCGCGGCGTCGATGACGAGCCGGAAGCCGGCGCCGAGTTGCTGCAGGAGGTTGCCCGAGACGATGCCTTTGGCGAGCTCATCTGCGCCGTGGGCAACGCGATCCCCGAGATCCTGCGCGGCGAGGTCGAGCCTCTGGAGGTTATGATGAAGGACGGGCTTCTCATGAAGCACTACGACGACATCCGCACCATGGCTAGGGGCAACCAAGCTCTCGCCAGGTACATCGCCAACCTCGGCGAGCTGAACCCGGACTTGCGGATCATCGAAGTGGGCGCCGGCACGGGCGCAGCCACCACCAAGGTCTTACAGGCCTTGTCCGCCGAGGAGCCGGAGGAGGAGGACAACTTCTCCGCGTACACATATACAGACATCTCGCCCGGCTTTTTTGATGCCGCGCGCAAGAAGCTGGCGACATGGCCGCAGGTGACCTACACCAAGCTCGACATCAGCCAGGACCCCGCCGAGCAGGGCATCGAGGTGGGCACCTACGACGTCGTCATCGCGTCCAACGTTTTGCACGCGACGCAGGATATCGAGGAGACAGTCCGCAACATCGGCAGCCTTCTCAGACCGGGAACGGGCAAGCTTGCAATCGTCGAGTCGCTACCGGAGAGTTGCGACGCCGCGTTCCTCCCGTACACCATCCTGCCGGGCTGGTGGCTGACGGAGGACAGCTGGAGACAAGGAAACGACGGCCCGCTCATGTCCCAGGAGACTTGGGACCGGCTGCTCGTCACCCTCGGCTTCAACGGCGTCGAAGGTGCGGTGGCGGACTGGCCCGGTGCGGATGTATGCATCGTCAAGACCATGTGGTCCACCAAATTGTCCGATGACATCCAAGACGACGAGGAAGAGTCCGACGCGGCTGGAGAGGTAACGATCTGTGGCACCATCACCGAGGACCAGCGGCAGCTTGCCGAAGCTGTCCAAAGCAAATTGGAGCATCTCAAGCCGCAGACGATCAAGTCCATTCCAGAGCCCCAACAGATCAGTGACAAGTTCTGCATCTTCCTAGACTGCGGCGAGACCAGCTTCCTCGCCGACGTGGCCACCGAAGAGGCCTTCGCGGCACTCAGGGGCATGGTGCTTGACACACGCGGTCTCCTCTGGGTGACCCCCGACTCCGACAGCCCCGAGTTTGCCCGCGTCCAAGGCCTGCTCCGCACGCTGCGGCTGGAAGATCCGACGAAGAAGCTCTTCTGGTTCAGCAAGGCACCAACCAGCGACCCAACGCAGACGGCTGAGCTGGTCGACAAGCTCACCGAGAGACTTGTCAAGGACTCTTCTTCGTCGCCCGCAGAGCTCCTCGAGCAGGACTTTGTGTGGCAGGGCGGCATGTTCCAAGTGCCTCGCCTTCGCAGACTCCCCGAGACGACGACGACGTTCGCCATCGAGAAGGGGCTTTCGGTCCGACGGGAGCAGAATCTCTGGGAGGGCTCAAATCCCAACAGCGCTCTCTTCATGACCATGGACACGCCGGGCGTCATGGACTCGGTGTACTTCAAGCGCCACGACTTGATGCCCCCCGCCGAGAAGCCGCTGGGCGACGACGAGATCATCGTCAAAGTGGACGCTTGCGGCATCAACTTCCGAGACGTGCTCGCACTCCTCAACACCATACCCTGGAGTCTGCCGGGCCGTGAAGGAGCGGGCACCGTCGTCGCAGCCGGCGCAAACGTCGCCCATGTCCGGCCGGGAGACAGTGTGTTCTACATGATCGCCCAGGGCGGCCTCGCCACGCATGTCCGCATTCCCGCGGCACACGCTTGCAAGCTGCCGTCGTGCCTCTCCCCCGCCGAGGCCTCCTCGATGGCTGTCGCCTACGTTACCGCTCTCGTGTGTCTCGACGACGTCGCCAGACTCCGGCCGGGCGAGTCCGTTCTCATCCACGCGGCTTCGGGGGCCGTCGGCCAGGCGTGCGTGCGTATCGCCCAGAGCATGGGCGCCACCGTCTTTGCTACGGCCGGGTCCGATGAGAAGAGGACGTTTGTTCACGAGACGCTTGGTGTGCCGCGAGACCACATCTACTCGAGCCGCAAGCGTGGGTTTGCTGCTGGGATCCTCAATGTGACGGGCGGCCGTGGCGTCGACGTCGTCGTCAACTCCCTCAGCGGCGAGCTGCTTCGAGACACATGGTCAATCGTCACCGAGTTTGGTCGCTTCGTCGAGATCGGCAAGAAGGACATTCTGGCCAACTCGCACCTAGGCATGAGGCAGTTCGAGCGCAACGTCTCCTTCTTCGCGGTGGACCTCGTGCCGTATCTCTCGCACAAGTCGGACAGCATCCAGGCCTGTCTGGCGAAGATGGTAAGCCTTTTCGAGGCCAAGGTTATTCAACCCATCCATCCCATCCATGAGGTACCTGTCTCCGATATCGTCTCCGGCTTCCGAGCTCTACAGAGCGGTCAGAACATCGGCAAGATTGTCGCCATCATGGGTGAGGATGACAGGGTGGTGGCAGATGTGGCATCGCCGCTCCGCCGGGACGACGGCAGCGCTTCGCTTCGCGGTGATGCGACGTATCTCATCACCGGCGGAACCGGTGGCATTGGCAAATCCCTCGTGCCTTGGATGCTGCAGAACGGTGCGTCCAACGTCGTCGTGCTCGGCCGGTCAGCCACCACCAACGCCGAGGTGGCGAAGCTCATCAGCGAATACGACTCGCCTTCAACGGGGATTCATGTGCGTGCTGTAGCGTGTGACGTCTCCTCTCGAGACAGTCTCCTTGCCGCGTTGGAAGCAGTCAAGGACCTCCCTCCTGTCAAGGGCGTGATCCACGGCTCAATGTACCTCCGCGACTCCATCTTCTTCAACGCCTCCTTCGACGACTGGAAGGCCATCAACGGCCCCAAGATCGACGCCGCTTGGAATCTCCACCACCTCCTCCCTGATCTCGATTTCTTCGTTGCCCTCGCATCCGGGGCTAACGTCGTCGGCAACGTCGGCCAGTCCATCTACTGCCAGACATCATCCTTCCTCGACGCCTTCGCGCAGTGGAGGAGCCGCGCCGGCAGACCAACCATTTCCATCAGCTTGCCTGTCGTGGACGACGTCGGCTATGTAATCCAGCAAGGCATGCGCGAGCAGCTACTCGAGAAGTTGGGCTTCTACATCTCCATCGCCCAGGTCCACACCGTCATCAAGGGCGCCATCATCGGCCCGTCATCAGGCCTGAACATCGACTCGCGAGCCATTGCGTTCGTGCTCTATGACTCGCCCCAAGGCAAGTCACACGGGCTGGAAGAGCGGTCGCGCTACCTGTCCGCCCTGCGTCAGAAGAAGTGGAGGAAAGACAAGCACGCGTTGGACGGTCATGGCGACGGTGAGGGCGCCGCCGGAGGAGAGCTGAGCCTTCTAGATGCTCTGGCCGGGAAGGTCTCGTCTATTACGATGATGAGCCGCGAGGACGTGACGCCGACACGCAGTCTCATCGAGTACGGCCTGGACTCGCTCGTGTCGGTGGAACTGCGGAACTGGATTAAGAGAGAATACGGAGCTGATTTGGCTCTTACGCAGATCGTTGGCGCCTCTGATTTGCAGGCATTGGCGGACGTGATTGTTACTCGTCAGAAGGCGTGAATAATACCAAACATCGATTTGGCTGTGAATACGGGACTGGGTTCATACGAATCATCATGGCCTTCACTTTATACCTAGATATAGATTTTCTATTTCACACTTGGCTTGAACACTATCCCTCAAGTTACAAAACAAAAGTTTACAGAGGTACAACACGAAGGAAATCCCTGCAGGAAACAAAATGTATTTGCGTTCTAAAGAATACACAGCTTCATGTGAGACGCGCACAATGAGTCTTGTAGCCTGCTACGCTATTTTCCTATCGGCGCGCGGCGGATGATACTCCAGTTCTACCAGACCCCGGTAGCTCTATGTGTGGTTTTCCAGCAATTTTAGACGGGTTTGTTGGTAATTCGTGCTATGATCCAAGGAGTAGGCATGCGTATTGGACGCGGTTCGGCCCTTCAGGCCTCGCCAACGATTTCTCTGAGTGAAGTATCTAGTATTTCAGAATGCCACTGCTGTTGAATCCTTGTAATATGACGATATCTGTGTTCATCAGCACCTGACGTGCGAGTAATCCCTGTCAACTCGCGTTGCTCACCCCTGCCGAGTCCTTTTTCTCCCCATGGTTCTTGCTATCCTGGCTAGAATTCCGATAATATGGGGCATACAACCTGGTCAGAGATGCCTTGAAACCAGGGACTTTCGCAGGTTAGTTAGTATGGAAACCGCCTGATTTCTGAACAAAAGATCAAAACAACGTTGCAGTCGGGGTCGAAGATGGCGCACCCGACATGGGTTCCGGGGACTGCAGAAGGTGAGTCCGCACCATGTATCCGTAACAGAGCCACAAATACGAACAAGGTGTACCCGCAAGCGGCAACCTGCTACCTATACGAACATACGAAAAACGTTAGAAGAAAAATGATGCAAACGATGTACAAATACGCAGGGTTTCAGTGTGACTCGGCACCTATCTTGCTGACATGCATCAAAATGTGACGTGGAACACCAGCCCCATAGAAACATCCATGGGTGCAACGTCAGAACATGTCACAAACGGATTATCGAGGTGCATAGCAAAGACACGGATACAAGAATCTCAAGATCAGATTAGAAAACCTCAAAACGAAAGCTTGCTTGCGGTCATCTCACTGCATCATTTTCTGTGGCAAAAGACCGGCCACATTTCGTCACCTGCTACTTCCTGTAACCCTTGTTGGAAATCATGGATACCCTGGAAGCTGAAGACATCCATGCCATCGAGCAGCTCTTGCGCAGTCATGAGTCTGTCAAAGACGCGGCCGTGTTATCTGTACAGAAATACGGGGAAGATATGCTCGTGGGCTTTGTGATGCTGCACGACCAAGCCCTCGAGAACCAGATCCGAACCCTGGGTCAGTCCGGCGACGAGTTCGAAGCGGAGCAAGTGCAGCTGTGGGAGTCGGTCTTTGACCGGCGCGTTTACGCCACCATCGACGACGAAGCACGGCGGGAAACCGTCGGGCGCGACTTCACCGGCTGGATCTCGGCCTACGATGGCAGCTTGCTGGACAAAACCGACATGAACGAGTGGCTCGACGATACCATCGAGATGATGGTCACGCACAGCATTCGCGACCGTCCCGTCAACGTTGTCGAACTCGGAACCGGCTCCGGCATGATTCTCTTCAGTCTCGCGCGCCACATACGTTCCTATCATGGTATTGAGCCATCACGTAAGGCCGTCGACTTCGTCTCAGTGACGGCTCAATCGATCCCTGAACTCGCGGACAAGGTGTATGTATACGAAGGTACGGCAACCGACTTTCATCTGCTGGGGTCGCCCTCCCCCGACTTGGTCGTAATCAACTCGGTTGCCCAGTATTTCCCTAGCCAGGCCTACCTGCTCGAGGTGGTTGAGGGCATCCTGAAATTCGGCTCCGTTCAGACAGTTGTGTTTGGGGATATCCGATCGTTTGCTCTTCAGAAGGAGTTCCTGGTCACCAAGGCACTTCACGCCACGGGCGGAAAGGCAAGCAAGGGCGCTCTTCGCGAAAAGATCTCGGAGCTGGAGCAAGCCGAGATTGAATTCTTGGTTGACCCGGCATTCTTCACCAGCCTGCCTGACCGGTTTCCAGGCCTCATTGAGCATGTCTGCATCATCCCGAAAAAGATGAAGGCCACCAACGAGTTGAGCTGCTATCGCTACGCTGCGGTTCTGTACATTGCTAGTGGAAGCCAACAGAGCGGAGAACAGCAGCAGCAGCAGCAGCACCTTAGCAGCAACATTCGGGAAGTCGCTGATGACGAATGGATTGACTTCGTGGATCAAGGACTGGATCGTGCAACCCTCTCGCATCGTCTGATCACCGAAACCCCAGATATCATGGCCGTGAGCAACATTCCCTACAGCAAGACTGCCTTTGAGAGGCACTGTCTCGACGCACTCGCGGACGGAAACGGACAAGAAGAAAACGCAGATGATGATTCTGCGTGGCTTACATCCGTCCGCCAGAGCAGTCAAGAGTCCCCGTCGCTCTCGGCTCTGGACCTGGCAAGCATCGCTCAAGAAGCCGGATACGAAGTTGAATCTAGCTGGGCGAGGCAGTTTTCACAGCGCGGTGGCCTCGACGTCGTCTTCTACCGTACGCAGCAGCCATCTGATACCGTAGCTGGTAGTGTTGGTCGTGGGGACAAAGCTCTCTGGCGCTTCCCGACTGATCATCAGGGTCGAGAGCCTAGCGCGTTCAGCAACCAGCCACTTCAGCAGCAGGCCAGGCAAACGATCCAACGACAGCTTTTCGAATCTCTGGAAGATCAGCTTCCTATGGAGTCGGTACCCGAGGATATAGTCATCCTGAGCGCTTTGCCGACCACTTCGGATGGCAAAGTGGACCGTCAGGCGCTCTCAGAGAAGGCAAACTAGTAGAATGACATATGAAACAGCAGTTGCTTCTGTGTTGTCCTGGACCACTTGCTTGAATTGTTTTTCGACCGAGGCTCGCGGTACTGGGGGAATGAACAAGTATTTGCCATATTTCCGAGTGGGTGCGTTGCCTAACATTGGTCTGCTGGTCGTCTTTTTCTCCTCCGCACGGAAAACGGACGAATTAAGTAATATTAGCTGCTGAGCCAACTCTCGTAATTCATTATGATTCGGAGAGCTAGCTGGTGACATTTCATGTGAACGTGTTACCCTCAGTGTTAGGATATAATCAGTGTGTTTCAGCAAAAGAAAAGCCTTCCATGCTCATAACTTTCATAAACCGCTAGTTAGAGTTGATGTTAAGCAACAACATTAAATTCAGGTTGACAGTTTCAGCGTAGTCACTTAAAAGGGAAGAAAGACCAGTTCCTTGAAACCCCAAAATATCACATCCATGGATATAAATTCCTACCTAGGTATTGTTCTGGCCTTATGAATTTACCTATTAAAGATAAAAGGTCTTTACGCAAGGTTAGGAGAAATCTTATCATTCGAGTCAAAAACTACTAAAGGCCTGTATTCACAGCCTTCTATCACCCGACTTGGCGGAATGATTCTATTAGCACAACACCGCTATCCACCACCAGCAAAGAAACAATCCCTCTAACCATTCACCACCGTCCTGACCGTCTACGCCGCAGCTCTAAACATCACCAGGTCATGATCTCGCACAGGTGCCCGAGGAGTTAGCCTTCCCGCTTTTGTCAGCGCATCCCTGCTCGAAGCTCGCCGCTCTGGCCGACTCGTCAAAGCAACACTTTCGTTCGTTAGCAACCAGCTGTTCTTGCAACAATACGCAATATGTCGACGAAGTACAGTCCCCGGTGACTCAGGGAGGGGTGTTCCGGCAGCTGTGACGCAGATATTGTCCGAGGTATTGACCTTGCCGTTGATGACGCACAAGTAGCCTTGGATGACAGCACCAAGCACAATGCTAGGGTTGAGTTCCTTCAGTAAGCTCCCGCTAACTTTATGATTGTAGGGAAGCTTTGAAAACAAGAACTCACGCGGCCTGTACCAGAGCAACTGCAATCAGAGTGGATTTCATGGTGTTGACTCAAGATAGATCGGGGCAGATATCGAAGAAAGCAGAAAGATTTGGGAATGATGACCGGATACCTGCAGTTGAATAGTTCGTCTGAATCCCTCCGTTAAATAGCATGGGAAGACATGCTTTTGAGTCAGTATCAAATGGCATATGCCAGTTGACAACCCAAACTCCCAATCCCAAAATAGTCGACCGGCCCCCCTTTATCAACTGATCCAAGTTTGAGGGTTGAACTCAAAATCGGTTGTCGTATCGCGTTATAGCGTTTGATTGGTTGTCATTGGTCCTGTCAATTAACGGGATCAGCGCAGATCTCGGCTCAGTCCGAGATACTCGGATGGAGAGGCGCCATCGCGATAGTCAGGGCTCTATTGAAACGAGCAAGGGTCTCTGATGACCGCGGCGACCGCTCAGTCCGAGATCATGGTAGCCTTATTGCACTAGATGCAAGGCGCAAGGCGCAGACCTAACGTGGGGACATACGTTAGCTGAGACGAGGCTAGGAACAGCAGTGCCAGGAAGGCGATTATATAGACCTTGGATTGCTGCTCTGTACCAGTTCTCAACTGTCAACTCTACCGCGCATCTGGAAAATAAGACTCTGCTCCACCCTGCGCAACATTACGTACTGACGTGATCAGACACGTGGTCACGAGAGAGAGGCTACCTAGGGGTCTTAATGGGCTGTAGCCACGAGGGACAATACCTACTATGAAGGCTTGTGGCTATCAGAGACCCTATGCCACGAGAATATCGATTTCATCAGAGTTCATAGTCCGTATACTGCGAACTTGTTGGATTGGATGACTTTGATAGCGTCAGGTAAATTTCAACCCCCTAGCATCTCCTGGAGACAGATTAGCATTAAAGGATGACGTTCAAGCAAAGAGGCAAGTCGTAACAGTAGTTAGGCATTCTGACGGAACGTATCTGGGAATGGTGTCTTAAACTAATAACTTACCCGCAGACAATGTTCATCCATGTGCCGACAGTTGCGTCTTGCTGACTACACTGGGCGTCATATTTAGCAGAGGTTGAAACTCAGAAACGTGACGTAAACAGTTGACTTTCTATAACTTTGAAACATATTATAAGCTGTCTTTATGAAGAATACACACCCCACGCTCTCTCCCTTCGAACTCCAAAAATCACCATCACCCGTTCCTCGACCACACCACTACCCAACACTCAACCCCCAAACTCCGTCTCGGCCCCTAACTTAGGCACGAGCATAACCCATCAAAGCCGGCTCGCCAATCAACTTGGGCAGGTAGGCCAACAACCGCACACCGGCAGCCACAATCGATCCGGCGGTGGCAACACCGTCCTCGACGTTCAGCCCGGGGGCGATGATGTCCTTGCACACATCGTTCAGGTTGATCCGGCCAATCTGCGCGGGGCCGCTGCCGTTCATCAGCGCGTCCTTGACCAGCGCCGCAGTGAGGGGGTTCAAGAGCGTCGTCGCGTGTCCGTAAACACCACCAGCAGGGCGGCCGGCGCAGACCTTCTGCACCTCGACGTTGGTAACTCCAACCCGGCGCGCGTCGGTGATGTACGCGGAGGCGGCGGTGCCCTGCTGCGGCTCGACGACCTCGTCCAGCAACGCGGAGTAAAACGTCGTGGTCGGCACGTACGCGTCAGCACCGCCCTTGGCGCGGAGCGTGGTCACGAAGTTGGAGGTGTACTCCTGCTGGATGACGGACGGGTCGCAGGGGGCGTTGAGCGCGCCGGCGCCGGGGGAGAGGCAGAGCACGTTGGCGAGCACGGTGCCGTGGAAGTCGGGCGAGACGGGGAGGAAGTTGGAGACGACGGCGCGGGTGGACGGCCAGAAGGTGAAGGCCCACTGGGTGTCGAGGCCGCCCTGGGACCAGGAGACGATGCTGGCGTTCTTGCCGGTGATGCCGTTGATGTAGTTGGTCGCGTAGGCGACGTACTCGGAGTTGACCTGAGCGTCGCCGAGGAGCGCGCTGGGGACGTTGAGGAGCACGGGGTCGGCGTAATGGACGCCGGTGAGGAGCTTGAGGAGGTTGCCGCCGAAGGCCTCGTTGGCGTAGGTGCCGGTGCCCGGGACGAAGATGACGGGGGGCTTCTGGCCGTAGGTGAAGGACTTGGGGATGTAGATGGCCTGGCGGAGCTGCTGCTCGGTGAGGGAATAGGGCGCGTCGGCGGCGTCCTTCTTGGGGTAGATGGGCTTGGCCGGGTTGAGGGGGTTGAGGTTGTTGGTCGAGTCGAGCGGGGTGAGGGGCCCGACGAGCTTGTTCACGATGGAGGTGAGGTCGGCGCTGCCGAGGCCGAGGAGGCCGCTGCCGCCGAGGAGACCGCCGCTGCTGAGGATACCCTGGAAGCCGGAGAGGAGGCCGGCGGGGACGATGCCCTGGCCGATCTGCTTCTGGATGTTGCCGTAGAAGTCGGTGGAGCCGCCGGACTTGGTGCCCCAGATGGCGCCGAGCTTGGACTGGAGGTCGTTCGCGTTGAGGACGTTGAGGCCGGCGGTGGGGTTCGTGCCCAGGATACCGGAGAGGGACTGGACGTAGTTGGTCGGGAGGGAGAGGAGCTGGGTGACGCCGGTGAGGGAGTCGAGGAGGCCGGCGGGCGCGGCGTCGGTGGATTGGAGAAGGATCGCGAGAAGCGCGGCTTGCTGAACCGGAGAGCGCATTTTTAGATGTTTGTTCTTGTTGTTTGTTAAAGAGAGAAAGACTGCAGTGAATGTTGACTGGATTAGTACTTAGAAAAGAGAGACAGAGATTGGGAGACAAAGATGAAGTGCTAGGAAAGAGAGAGTAAGTCTTGAGATGAAGCCTGTGAGTTGGATGAAGAACCTTTTTCTCTCTCTCGACGCCGGATCAATTGGATGCTTATATCCTTCTTTCACTTACGACAGGATTCAGGATTCCGTGTTGATGTTGATGAAGCAAAGACAAAAAAAGCCGTTGCCGTGCGCCACAAACGTCTTTCGAGGAGTTGAGGGGAGCATGCGAAGGTCAAGCGCCTTCCCGCCGGCCTTCCGCAGTCTAACCCAAGCCCCTCCTCTGAACAAATCTAGCTCGACATCTTCAAAGAGCGTGCAAGCAAACGCTCTCTTGCTAGAGCCTAGCCGTGCCGATCCCCGAGCTAAGCATTTCCCATGGCAAAAAGATCTTTACGGCGCGGGGGAGCGAATGGCAACCGCAGAGAGATCTTCGGTGTTATTGCTCGTCGTACTGGGTCATAGAGTTCGGTAGTGTTGTGCTCGTGTTGCTGTATTAGGAGATGGCGGCTAGTCTAGCGTGGGACCAAGCCGGGGCGCCGCCTCCCGTCCAAGGGCCGCCCGTCGTTCGTTCGTTCTATTTTCGCATGGTTCTCCCCATGGGTTCTGCTGCTGCTGCTCTTGCTCATGTGGCTGTAGACTTTGGGATGGAAAATTCGGGTTGTCCTTTTGTTTGTAAGACGTCGTTGACTCGAAGTTAAGCTTGGTCGAAGCGCCACAACCGGCCGCCAAGCAGACTTCGCGGCTAATCTTCAGGTTGAACAAAGAAACAATGAACTACCTCGGCATCAACGGCTCCCTTCTACTTCTCTCCCAACCTGGCCTTTCCCCTGTTCTCATTTCTTCCTCGACAACCGAAAAAAAGAAAGAAAGAGGCTTCCCCGCGACAGCTTTCCCCTGATGCTACCTAACCCCTGAACCATCCTTGTCCCCCCAGATCAAAAAATAAAAAACCATCCGAATCCCGCCGTCCCAGCAACCCCCAAAGCGCCCAAGCTCCCCAGATAAGCTCACGGATATATAAACATCTCCTCACCACACGGGCTTTTTCTTCGTTCCCTTTTGGCGTCCTGCTCGGACGAAACAAAAAGCTTGCCCCCTGCCCCCGTGAGCATGGGGAGATTTTCTCCTCGCCCGGTTGGCCTCGTTTTTGACAACCAACGGCTCCGGCATTTCTTGTCTAGCCCACGGCACGAAGACAATGCATCTTCTCAAGACTTGCCCAAACCAGCAACCTTTCTTCTTGAGAGACTGCTTCCCGTTCGCCTGGTCCATGCTTCGGTCCGATATCAGGTGGAACGCATCGTCCGGGCCTCCGGAGCGTGTGGCCTGACAAACTGATACCATTCTTTCCCACGACAGGGTCTGGCGATACGGCGAACAAAGCTATTGTGTTAGCCCAAGATCCAATAATCCTCGACGATGATCTCCGTCCGGGAAAACCACAAAGGCCTCGGAAAGATCCGACTTCGCGCATCGTTTTGGTCAACCCAGCCTACTGGGCCTCTCGCGTCCAACCGGGCCGATTCGACGAACCACTGCGCTCTCTTCTTCCCTACCCTGCGAGATTCTCAGGTGAAGCTTCGAAGAATCCAGAAATATCTCATGTTGCCGTGCCGACTGACGATCGCCGGTATCCGATCAAACACATATGATATCCAATCATGGCGAAAAGGATGTCGGGGTATCCGGACAGCCCGACACGACACAGCTCTGCGTCGTCCCTCAATTGGCCCCTTCCCATGGAACGCAAAACAATCAGCTTAGGAAACTTGCTCAAACTCTGCGCATCTCACCTGCCCTTATTTCCAACTTCCATACGTTCAGAGGACATACCTGAAGAGAAAAAAACGAAGCGTAACTCAGTTCAACAGCGAAGAGCAGCCCTCAAAGTCCTGCCCGCCATAACACGCAAGTAAATCACACAGAAACCAGGAACGAAACGCCTTGTGAACCTCAAATCATCAATCTTATTTCTCTATTCAGGGTCAGAGCCCTCATTCACTTCACACCCGCCCCAACGCCATTGTCGTGGTACACCCGCCAGACCGTCCCAATTTTTGATCCCACCCGTGTAGCCAGCCACGCCAACCTCAAACTAGTATTTTTGAGCACCCAGTCCACAGTCCGTCTTTTTGTTGCCAGCTGTAAAACGCCAAGCCGCCGTCCCTCTCAAAGTAAACGAAGGGAAAAGCAAAATTGTTAAAACAAGAGGGCTTTAAAGCGCAACATGCCCTAACGAAAGAGGGGGTATTGTACTGCGACGACAGGAGCAAAGAACGAACGATGGCAGACAGGCTACAGTCACGCGCAGGAAGTGTCACAAGTACGCAAAACAGACAACGTGCAAGCAAACTGAAAAAAAGCTAGGAAATCTCTGTTGGGGGCGAGTGCCGTGTGTGGTAGACAAACAGAAGGGGCAACCGGGCCCGGGGAGCCCATCGAGAAGATGATTCTCGAGACAAGCCCAGATGTCCAGAGATAACTAAAGCCGCAAAGCAAGCATGCATTGGTCGTTCTCGTGACGTCTGACAGTCGTGTCCGCTAACCGTGTGCCTAAGATCAAAAGTCCAAAGAAATGTGTCATTCGCCCAGGTATCCATCGTGCAGCGTAAAAGTTCCAAGGCGGTGGGATGAACGAAAACGACGTAAGAAGTTCGAGTGTAAGCAACAAGACAGTCATGAGAGGTGTTTCGCTTTCTTTCCCGCGGCCATAAGGAGGTCGAGGGTAGGAATGAGGCCGCTCTAGAGGCCCATCAGACCGTCACTCTACTGCAGCACTTGATTAGGAACGCAACGCAGCAGGGGGCCTGTGGAATTCATCATACCTGAGGAGGGGCACCAGGAGGGCCCTGGGGTCCCGGGGGTCCGTGAGGGCCAGGAGCACCGAAGTGGGCAGGGCCATAGGCACCGGGGCCGGGGGCGGGAGCGAAGTAGTGGGGCGGAGGAGGGGCAGGGCGGTAGGGGGTGCCGACACCAGAGTTGTTCTGGCTACGGCCCCAGCTCAGGCGGACGCGGGAGTTTCCAATAGGGTATCCCTGCATCTGGTTGATGGCCATCTCAGCAGCGTGGCGGTGGACGAACTGAACGAAACCGCAGCCCTTTCCGGGAGGGATCTTGACGTAGGTGATCTCGCCAAAGCCCTGGAAGAAGCTTCGGAGCTCGTCCTCAGTGACGTAGCCGGACAGGCCACCGACAAAGACGGTGGTGTTGTTGGGGTCAGTGAACTGGTTCATCTGCTGGCCAGGGGGGTTGTAGGGGGCTCCGTAAGCACCGCCGTACTGGGCAGGAGAAGGAACGCCGTAGAATCCTTGCTGGTGAGGAGGCAGGCCAGGAGCCATCATCTGGTTGCCGTGATGCTGGTAGGGACCGTGGTTGCGGTTCTTGGGGGTGGCAGTCGAGATACGCATGGGGCGGTTGCCGCAGTAAACTCCCTGCATTTCCACAAGAGCGCGCTGCTGGTCCTGCTCATCCGTGAAGCGGACGAAACCGTATCCGCGCGACTGTCCCGACATGGCATCCGTCATGATCTTAGCAGACTTGCAAGAGGGGAAGCGCGCCTGGAAGAGGGACACAAGAACGTATTCGTTGACCTCGGGGCCGAGGTCGCCGACGAAGATCGAGTACTCAGGACCGCGGTCGTCGCGACGATCGTTGATACCGCCGCCGGACGCCCAGTTGAGCTTGAAGGCGCGGTTGGAGTTGGGAACGGGAGTTCCGTTGAGCTGGAGAGCCTTGCTAGCCGCATCGCTGGACGTAAACTCGACGAAGCAGTATCCAGCGTTGCCAGACGTCTTGTCGCGGATAACCTTGACGTTAACAGGCTCTCCAGTGGCAGTGAGAAAGACGCCCTTAATGAAGTTCTCGTCCATCCAGGGCTCGAGCTCGCCCATCCAGAGAGTGTTCTTATTCGCGTCGCCCTGGATGGGAGCCTGACCGCCGGGGATCTCTCCAGATCCATTGTTGCCGGGGAAGGGCATGCCACCAGAGACCGGGGTACCGAAGCCGTCGCCGTTGGCGTTGGGGGGAGGGGCACCGTTGCCCTGAGCGGGGTTGTACGCGAGACCGTCCATGATGAAGTCGTTCGAAACTGGTAGCAAAAAGGTCAGTCAAAGCTGTCCGTGTCGCCCTTAGCTATGGGTTGGCTGACCTACAGTTCGTGGATTGGAATGATAAGTCGTTACGAGGAATTCAAGCAGTGTTGCCGTCTTCCTTCAATAGATTGGGTTGGTTTTGAAAATCGAACAGAATGAACTGTATTCAGACGCAAAACCGATACTCCGAAAAGCTCTTTGTGAAAAGTCGATTCTCTCAGACGCCAGCACGCCCCGTAGAAAAACGAAAGATCGAGATGCCTCGGGGTATTCGTGCCAAAAATGCTACAGCCGCCGATTAAGAACAAGCCCGAGCGATGCTTCGAATTCGACTTTTGGATCTCCTAGACTTGCGCCGGGTACCGGAAACCAAGAGATGCCGTGGCTAAACGTAACCTTTCACCGAAGATCCAGAAATGGGCCAAAGGAAGGATCCGAAATGGGAACCTGCGATTGCGGTCAGCATCACCTGTCGGTCGTGTGTAGTCAGCGCGTCGCGGGCAGTCAGTCGGCAGTCGCAGTCGCATTCGACAGTCATGAGCCACGAAAATTGGCAGGCTCGGGTCGGGTGTTCAGCCACAGGGCTGATCATGCAGCAAGCTCAAGCCGAGCCCTGCGAGCGGGTCGCCCACCAAGCAGCCACGCCGGTCGCTGGCAGCATCGACCCGCACGTACACAGCTGCCATGAAGGCATTGCCAATTCCGACGCATTCTCGCGATTGCGCTTGCCGCATACAATGTGGGGAGCGTCTCGTTGGCTCGTCCTGGTCGAAGTGGCTGTAGATATTTTCTGCCGCAGTGAGACATGCCGAAGACATTGATTCCCAGCCGGGCCAGCACATCGTACGTCGGCAAGCAATCGAGAGACGCGCCCACAGGTTTCCATCCGTTTGCACAGCTACATTGCAGCTCGAGCTTTCGTAGTGACTCATGACGGTGCCTTGCGCTTTTCTCGATATTTTGCGGCAGCATAGTGCCGTCCAAGTCCCGCAACTCCCGCCACGCCTTATCGATCGTTGTGGTCGAGATGACAGCTGTGAGATGGTGATGCTCCATTATGCATAGCTGAATAATGCTGCGCGAAGGCGGGTAGGCGAGGTACAACGGCGTGGTGGGCGGATCGTGAGCGGGGTACGAAGGCGACATTGCCATGGTCTGCGAGGGAAGGCATCGAATTACGTCGCCGTAGGCATTGCGTCCACCGCGCAATGCCGTTCAGGTCGCGATGTTCAGCTCGAATAGAGTCGACGTTGGTTGGACGATCGACAGCCAACACCCAGGATGATCCACGACGCATGGAGGGGTCGTTCGATGCGCCCGAGACTGCAGTCCAAAGTCGGGCCCGGCCACTATCGGGTGTGGCTCTGCCAATTCGAACCATACGGCGTCAAGTGCCTCGAGCAAAGGATTGCCGAAGTTGCCGAAGACAGGAAAATCGGGCTCGAGGTCGATCTTTGCGACTGCGATTGCGACTGCGACGACACGAAGGGGGGGGGGGGGGGGGGGGGATGTCGAATAGGAGGAGAGACAAAGGAAGACGGACAGGTGGACTTACTTTTGGGCGCCAACAAAAAGACTCTTTTTCCGGATAACCAGGAGAAACGTCGTGCGACTCGTAAGGGGAGGGGAAAGAGAAAGAGGGTACGGGGGGAGGATTACTGAAGAGTAATTTTTCTCTTGTGAAGATTTTTCGGGGGTTAAACGGCGAGGGGAGAAACCGACAAGGAACTTGCGCGCAGAGATTTTTTTTTTCCGTAGCTGTGAGGGCCGTGGACGTGGATCTCGCTCAGTCAGTGGTGACGTGAGGCCGGTCAGGGTAGTAAAAAAGCAGTGGCAGAGGCACGACTTTTGCAACCAAGACAATCGCTGAAAAGGATGCTTCGTTTTTTGCAAAAACCGCAGCACAACGCAGAGCAGCAGACGAGCGATCAGGCAGACGACGCGCAGACAGGCAGATAGACAGCAGCAAGAGGGCAAAGAGGTGCAACTCTAAAGGAAAAGGGGAAGAAAGAGAAGAATGATGGAAGTGGGATGGGGAGGAGGTAAGAGTAATGGAGAAGGAGGGAGGGAAAGCTAGAGAAGAAGACAGACCGGGTTCTGGCGATGGGCGCGGCGGCGCTCGCTGTGCAGGCAGGTACCTACTCTACTGGACAGGACTGGGCTGCACCTACCAGCACCGGGACTGGTCGTGGAGTGTGCGGATGGGGAAAGCCAAAGGGAAGGAGAAGGGGCCACACTACCTGCCCGCAACAGCACAGTGAAAGTCCTAGGGAAGGCGCGACCTGAACTTTTTTGGGGGGGGCGTGTGATTCGTGACTTCTTACTTTTTGGATCTGGCACTGGCGTCGGGTGAGAAGGAGCAGACCCAGCCAGCCCAGGCAGGGCAGGCAGGCAGGTACTGGATGGAGTATGAGTGTGGTGTGTGGTGTGAGTCTGTTCGTTCACTGGTGTGGAAGGGAGGGAGAGACCTCCCAGACAAGGTAGGTAGGTAGGTAGGTAGGTAGGTAGGTACTTGCCCCCGGCCATGAGGGCAGAAAGGTACCTGCCTTCCTTGCAGTGCGTTGAGGCTACTTCCTTCTTTTCAGAGATGCGTTGGTTATCTTACTTCCACGGCTGAAATCCATTTCCCGTCTCATTCCTTCCTCACCTCGGCTCTACATTGCAGGCAGCGTGCATCTCGTACGCAGTAGAGAGGCAACAGAATCCTCGCAGAGATGCAGCTACAACAAACCATTGCGTCTAAGTTTCTACACTTTCAGCCCATTCCAAACGTACGCCTTATATGCTGACCAAGGTACCTCGAGGCAGAAGGTACATCGGATCAAATACACACAGGCACACTCCGCGGCGACGGAGCCTCCAAGTGGGGCACATCGAGCGTACCTTACGTACATTTTGCCTGCTCGCCTTGCGCCGCGCCTTACCAGCTGTAGATAGCGCGCAGATGGCCATCCAAGAAAAGGCGACAGAAAAGCATTAGAACCAAGATACGGCGCATCGAATGAGTGGGGCCCTGGTGGTGGACAGTGGATGTCGATGCCGTGCGTTCAGAGCATCCGAGTCTGGGCGAACAGTGGCTGCGCCAGTCAAGAAACGAAACCAAACCGAGCAAGGCACGGCATCTTTAAAGGCCACGCCGGCAGACGACGGCCTGCGACCACGTCCAGCACCGCGGCTGACTGAGTGCCTGGTTCAGTCAAGTACGTGCGTCGACTTCAAGGACTGCTCAGTCAACTGTTTTTTTTTTCTCCCTCCTTGTCACGGCCTCAGGCTTCCGAATCTTGGGGGAGCTCTGAGACAGATCTTCGGATAAGAAATGGATACACAGGACACGGGAACCGGTGGTCGACTTGCGAAGCACTGATCAGAGTCAAGCAAGTGCCAACGTCGGGTTAGTTCTCTGATGCGAGGCAGGCAATCCAGGTTAATGACAGGAAGATGCAGGCAGGTGCAGGAAAGTGCAGTCAGTCTTGGGAGCGGGTGAAAACGCAAGCCCGTCTGGTGCTACCAAGAGAAAGAGACGGTCTGCGGGTGTACCTCCCTCTCCAGGTGGTACCTGCCGCACATGTCCTTCCCGCAATTCTACGACTGCCGATTGGAAGATGACAGGCAGCTGCCAATGGAACCTGGAAGGAAGGAAGGGAGGGAGATGCATTTCGTGCATTTCGTGCATCTCGGGCCTGGCCTTGCTTTCCTTCATTCCTTACCCAAGGTACTACTTACTTGTCTAAAGTAGATATTCTTGGAAATGGCCTCACTCACTCCCGTGCAGTGTGCTCACGTCCGCAGTCGACAGGGCTCCCCGAAAAACGGACGTGGGACCTACACTACCTGCCGACCCAGATTGCATGCCGATAGACCACAACCCAGCCAGCAACAAGACAATTCCCATCAAAAAGGTCAAAACAAAGCCGCTGTTGTCCGTCGGCGACTGTGCGCTCTTGGCATGGCATGGACCTGCTGTCCTGACAAGCATCACACACAGGTCACCCCCATGGATCCCGGCATCGTCTCCTCGCGTCCCCCGTCTGCCTGAAAACCTTGTTGCCATCTCTTTTTATTGATTTTCTGTTGCTGCTGGCAGCTATAGCTCAAGCTCTGGGCCTCTGGCTCCATGCTACGCAGTGTTCTTGCTCCAGTCCCCAACCATCAGCTCCGCAGGCGTGGATGCGGCGGCGGCCCATGATCATCACGGTCCAGCCTGCATTTTCTTGTCACCGCGCCCAAAAATGCAGAGGTTGTTGTGCATCGAAGCTCATTTCGCAGCAGCCCAAAGAGACGGTAGGGCATTTGAGGGTAGGGCAATCCTCCGGGCAGATCATACGGGGGCGGGAGAGACACGCTAACCAGAAAGTGCTGCTGCCCTGCCCTACTTATTCGTAGTTGCTCAGGTACCTACTTATGTGCGAATACCAACTCACCTTATTACTTTCGCTGGTATTCGTTCAAATACATCGACTCCTTCCCAACTCTGCCTGAGCTCGAGGGGTGGCTCCAGCGGCATGTCCGGTACGTACCGATCTGAACGCGAAATGGCGTCACGGAAGGAGAGGGGGGAGGGGGCGTGCCCAAGGGGGAGGGGCTCCTTCCCTGCAGCTGGGAGTCAGCCTATCGGCACTTTCCTAAGGCACTGCACGGGAGGAAAGGTACGCACGCAGCTGCCACTCGCTTGGCTTCCTTTACTGAGAAGCTCCGAGGGTCCAAATCACCACCTGCTCACCTGATTGCCAACTCACGATACCGCTATGCGCACCGCACACAACCTGCACTCGACATTGACGCTGTCGACGCTGTCAAAGATGCATAGGCTGCGTTATTAGCATCGAACAGCCGCCAGATTAGCCATTTTCGCAGCTACTCGTTCCCATCACATAGGCGATACTCTTCCCGTCATGCCGTCCTGCAATCCTGCGTCACATCCAATCCTCCAGGCCTCCCATCAACCCATCCTCAACCTCAACATCTGCACCTCTCGCCATCATTCCCTGCACTGCAAACCAGCTGCCCCGTACGATGCTTGCTTTTACTTCGGGCGACACGATAACCCCTTCGCTATCTTCGCCGTATCCAGCTGTCAAGGGCCCCATCGGCCCGGCAATCCCAGTTGCGAACGCGGTCATTCTGGTCACCATTTCCAGATGATGTCCATTGATCGGGTCCTTCCCGCTCACATGTCTCTCTCTAATCAAGCACCGGCTGCCGAACAACCACCACCAGAGATGGGATGGCGGGCACGCCAGGCGAAGACGGGCAACTTGCATTTGAGACACGGCCTCCGTTCATTTCTTTTTCCCTACCACTGGCCCCCTCCACGCGAACCCCTCGTGGACTCCGAGAAGCGTCGGCCAGCCTCCTGGTCCGTCTTGAGTTGAGCTTGTCCATCTCGAGGAATCGACGTCGAGTCGCAGGAGGCAAGTGAAGGGTCATCCGTGTGACATGTCGTGCTATTAACCTTTGCTGCAGCTGCTATCAAACTCGTGCCTCGCTAGCCGATTGTGCGCGCACCACGTTTCGAAACGCCGCAACAGTGTCAACTCAACTCAAACAAGTCATGAGCACCACTCCCACGGTCCAGGTGTTTTCTCGCTTCATCTGTGCCGCCAACTAAACACCCGACTCACTTGCTGCTGCAACTGCCGTGCACTCTCTCTCTCTCTCTCTCTCTCTCTCTCTCTGCCATTCATCCATGGCCTCGTCTCCATCGTATCGGGGTCAGCGACACGCCCGAGGACGACGTGGCATCGACTTGCCTCGATGTCGGACCTCTCCTCCGCGGCTCTTTCCCCTGTCCCGCTCATCACCGACGAACCCGGAGCCGGTGGACGATGTTTGCCCGACGAGACAACCCTGACTACAGAAAAGACACGTCAATTCTTTCTCCCCTTCTCCTTTCGAAAAGCCATGGCTTCCTTGCCCAGAGGAACACGCTCGG